ATAAGGTATCATATAGATTTTGAAAATCAGGAAATTTTAAGATAATAAACTTTAACTAAGATAGTGCTTTTTATTTAAGTCTTTCCAAAGTGTTTGAAGAACCTTTTAAGTGCCCAAAGAAGGCTTCCTAATTTTTAGTGCATCTTACTGATGCTGATATTGGAATTTGATTATCTTCATCAATACCTGCCCTCTTTTACACCTGTTTGAGAAGACTTAATTGGTGATTTCTAAGGCAGAAATGAATTGCTACCTTAGAATATCCTTTGAGGTTTTGTGTGGCTGTTCATTCATAATTATGCACTTTCTAAAGCAAAGATTTTATAAGGTCTTAAGTTAAAGATTTATATCCCAGTTAAATGTTGTGAGCATACAAAAGAAGTATAAATCTGATTAAAAGCTGTTTACATGATACAGATTAAGATCAAGAATTTATAAAATTAATATCATTAGACAAAAAGATATGTAATAATGTCACTTTATATTGATTTTCTTGTATGATAAATATCAAGGGAAAATTTTAAAATTATGATAGTTAATTGTAAGTTAGTTAATCTTCTATTAATATATATCCTCTCTATAGATATACTTAACACATATATTTGTATATATATAGACACAATAGCTAAAAATTATATAATGGTAAATTACTTAATAGTAACTTAAATTAATTGAATATATATAAGTATATAAGTACTTATATATAAGTATAAGAAGCTTGATAATATTTTGAGAAGACAGTTCCTTATCAGTTGAGATAGAAATTAAGTGCTGACACCCTAAAATAAACTTAAAAGCCAGTAAATAAGGATTAGAAATTTATGATTAATTACAAAAGAAAATTTGAACCTGGAAAATTAACAATTCATGATCATGCCTTAACTTTTATGCAGAGTTCATTCTTATTATAAAAATTAAGAAAACTAGAATAATAAACCATAATAATTTTGATCATCTTATGCTTTGAAAATATCTTAAGCTACCTAGTACTGTTACAATGTTGAAGAGTGACATATCACAAAACTTTACAGAAAATCTTCTCCATTCCAAAGAAGTTACTCTACAATTACTTCTACAGAACACAGCACAGACTAGCAACATAGCAATTTTTATTCAAAAATTATATTCAATGTTAACTATTACACTGAAAGAAATGTAAATGATCTTCCTTCAGGAAATAAGGTAACACTTAGGTACAGGCTTGAGGGCAAAATGATCATGTGGGGAAAGAACTATCCCATATGTCCGTATCACTTGTTAATCTCTTTACATCCTCACTGGAAGCATTTGGCACAAGACCAGGAAGATCTGCTGAGAACCACATCGAACTCCAGAACAAAGAATATATTTAAGCTTTTATAGCCCTTTTATAATGTCATTTTCACTCTTCTACTCACAAATAAAATCTTTGTGTAATTGGATGTATCAAAATAACTCCTGTCTTCTACCTTATTCAGTGCTAGTTGTCCTTTGCCTTTTAAAGCCAAAAGGATGTTATTGTCATTGTGAGTTAGATCCAGACAGATGTTGTATACTGTAGTGGTTTCTGGTGCATGAACACGCAACCTCCTGTACACTAGAAAGGTTTTCAAGGTTGTTGTATAATATCAGAATAGCAGCTATTATTAGCTTTTATAGACTTCTGCAAAAATTAATGAAGTTGAGAAGCTCCGTTTAATGAAAAATAGCTCTATATTAGTCTAAATCTGTTCCTGAGATTGTATTGAATTGTGATTCACAGCCTCAAATCACAAATTTATTTCTGATACATTTATTTCTTATAGGAGGCTACAGATGAAGAATGTTTAAATAGATTCAAAAATTATTTAAGAAATCATAGTGAAAAATTCCGCTGGCATTACTAAATACAAGTGTGTCACTTCTGATTGTGATCCCTCACTATCAATTTGCCATGGCTTGGGAAAGAGGACAACATCCCTTTTTCTCTTTCTTTTCATTTGCTACAGAGCAACTTGGTCTTTTTTTGATATTTCTTGGTTATCTACTTGCCAGTTCTTCTGGCAGAGTGTTTTTATTTTCTGACCATAAACATGTAAGGAAAGTTACATTTACTTTATTGTGGAAAGCTGGCCTGCAAAGCTTTTAAGATGAATAAATGAAACTAAATTAACTGGAAATTTGCTGATTTTAACAAATGTTTCATGAAAAGTATGTGTAATCAAAAAGATTAAAGGAGATAAAGCGCAGAGAAGATAAATCATGTAGTAAAGTTAGGAAAAAGGAAAGCTAATGAAATTTTGAAATTACAAATTGAGGTTGACTTTTGATATATGTTCCATTTTTTCTCTCAATGCAAATTTTAAATTCTGTTCAAGGGAAATAAGACTTAGGACTGTTCCATTTTTAACTTCCAAGTAGACTACTGATCACACTCCATTGCCTTTTAAAAATCCATTCTTTTGATTGGCACATAAAGAAAGATGTTTAGCCAGAATATCCCTTCCTGTGAATGTTTGGAACACTCTTCCTCCCATTTTTGAAATCCTGCAGAATGAGGTTAGTGTGATAACAAGCCATCCATACAGTGATTCAGCAGTTCAAGCATTGTTCCGTTCTCTTTCAGAGTCTGTATATCAAGTGTTATGAGATAATTGCATGTACCAGTAGCACAGAGCATTCAGCCTCACCGGTCACAAAATCTTTCCTTGCTTTGGGTTGAATATTAGCAAGCAGACATGATATTCAGCACTTCTGCAGAGCAGAAATTTTAGTCAAGTGTGGGCATCCATAGAAAATTAATTTAAAAATAAACCTGCTTCCAAAAAGAAGACAGGAAAGTGTGATCTTTTGTTGAAAAATTTAAAAACTTAACTATGGATTCTTAGATGGACAGCTACAAATTGTTCTCAGCAGTTCAAAGCCTTGCTTTCTTTGTGCTCTTGTTAAAGGGGAAAAGGGTCTCCATTAGGTGCAGAAAAAGGTATAGAAATAGATCATTTGGGTTCAGAGTAGGGAGAATTTTTTTCCTGTATTGGCACTAAAACTCTCATCAGAAAGTGTAGACAGTAATCTAAAATACTCTGCCTCTTCTCTTTATTAAGGTAGAAGTATTCATTGCAAAAAGTCTTTCTTTCATCTTTTGCAAGCATTTTTTTTTGATTATGCATTGGTTCAAATTGTGGAAAATTCATAACTCTGTAGTTAGACTTCTGTTAAGAGAGATACTAAAAGACACAAATCACTGTTTTATAAAAAATATTGTTAAAATTATATAGAAGCATTCTTTTTCAACTGGCATTACTACGTAAATTAAAATTTTCCACATGATAAAGTTTCCTTAAGAAAAAAAATGTTTTATAGAAGGCTTGCTAAAACTGATAATAGCTTTTTGCTGGTGTCTTTTTAATAGTCAATGGATACTTAAAATGAATGAAATAAACATGTGACAGGAAGCAAAAATTGTAAAAAGGCATGTGAATTTATTTTAAGCTCTTACTTAGGTATTAGTTTCCTGCTTATTTTTGGGTGATAACTATTATCCCTCTTCTGATATGAGTTAGAAATAGCCCTCATTTTCTCAGTATGTGGTAGCTCTCAAACGTTTAAGAAAATCTGTCTGGCTTCTCCCTCTCTATCTGCACATGTATAGAATAGATTTCATCAAAAGTTAGACCATTGTACACTCAGAAGTTTTCCACTGGAAATGTGGGCTTTCACTTCCACAGACATCTTCATTCCCTTTATAACATATTAGAAAAAAAAAACGCACTATGCTTTTTTAGGGTGGCCATATTTTTATTTTCTGTCTAGCAAGAAAATGTGATCTTCTCATTCAATTGTAAATAGTAAGAGATCATTTGCAAGAAGAAGTACCTATGAGATTAATTTCAACCAAGGATCACCTTAAACATTTAATTTTAAGGAAAGTATAAATAAAACTTCTTCTTATATTGCAACAGAACCAATTCTTTTTCCCTAGATCTGATAAAGTACTCTATATCCTGACTGTTGATATTAACCTGGAGGCTCAACAGATCACTGCTCAAAGCCATGAAAATATCTGCAGAAACATGCCCTCCTTACAGACAGCAAGGTTCAGTTGCATGAATCACATTCCACTTTCAGTCATGTTTTGAGGCACTTGCAAGGGCAAGTGGAGGACAGGGTGGGAGGCTGCTTGTGCAAATCTGATTCCTGATGTCTCAAACCAGAAATATGAATATAGCTGCAGTTTGAGTAAAGCTGTGGTCAAAGAGAGTGAGCGCAGATTTAATTCAGCTGAGGTTTAAATAAATATCAAAGATATAATAGTATTAGGAGCATTCATCAAAGATGGCAGGCTATGAGAGATGCATTTAATATTGTCCTAAAATTAGAACTTGATTTATTGATTCAGTGTAGAAGAAGTTGGGAATTTCCCCACTCCAAAATTCAAAAATTGTGGTTTTGGCATTTCTCACCATGTGTAACTTATTCAAGCAACAGAAGGAAGGATTTGTGTCACTGCACTGTCCTGTTTCCACTGTGCAAGAATCATAAAAAGTAGGGAGGTCTGGTCATGTACTGCCTCAGTACAGAGAAATGTGTTCAGCTCCCATGCCTCCTGTTCAGTTGTCAGTTCCCACAGCTTTTGATCAACCCCCGTGTCAAAGCCCAGAACATCTGGTATAATATGAACAAATGATGAAGTTAAAAATGGAATAGCAGGTTAATATTTTCAGATCCTCATTCTTAGATGTGTCTTCATCTCTGTCACTCTATCACTTTCAGTTTTCTTGCCATCACAGCAAGATGACAGCTGTATGTGATGGCATTGGCATGTTCATACTCTTTATGACAGTTGTTAACAAAGTATAGCTTATTAGAAAAAGATAGCTTAATTTTGCAGACATTTGGCTTTCTGTCTTGCTTTCCATTCCACTTACCTAATCTCTCACAGAATTTCTTCTGAAGTTTTGAGCAATGTTAAGGTCACCAGAATGTCCATTAGCTCATCACAGCTGCCAGTATTAGATATTGGCTTTGTTAATTACAGGCACACAGAGCCATCCCAACTCAATCAATTTATTAAGATATTGTGGCACAGTGTGTTCATGCAGTGCTGTAAGAGAGTGGTTTGCAAACCCTGGAGGAGAGTCTGCAAGCAAGATGAGAGCAAGGGTCCCAGCGGCTTTGTTCAAGAAATGTCCGCTCAATCAGTGTCACGGAGAGCAGCAGCAGGTGAGTCAAAATGCCAAGAGGCTGCCTGGAGAACCCTGTGACACCATGGCCCCATCTCTGACTGGAAGTCTTTACAACTGCTTTACACAGCTTTCTTTATCTGTGCACGATGAGCTATTGCAGGCTTCTGCACAAAATTTAAAAGAATTACTTTCCCAAGAGGAACAGACTCTCACTAGGTATCAAATCCCATTATATTAAATTAAACCCAGTCTAATCTGCCTTTCCTCCTTACTTGGCCATCCTAAATTGTTAATTTCATCTAGATTTACCTTTTTATTTTGCACTGAATATTATTGGTAGAAACCAGGTTTACTAGGATTGTCAGCAATGTGAGAGTATGGTTTTCTTTATCCCATTAATTACTCTTAGTTTGGTCTGTTCAGGGAGGGGACGTGGATCTATTGCAGTAGGATGTATATTAATTATTTAAATTGTTTAATCTTAGACAAATTATAATACTATTATTAAATATTAGAAAAATATTATAGAGAGGGCCAATGTAAAAAGTAACATTGAATTTGAAGTTTTTCTTATTCTGTCGTATTCAAGTCAGGAGAAAGCAGATTAAATTTCTATAGTTATTATGTGGCTGTTGGTTTTGTCTTGGTTTGGGGATTTTTTGGGGCAGAGGGAAAGCTGGTCTTTTTGGTTGGTTGGGTTGGTTATTTTTATTCTTTGTTTCCCCTTAATGAATGAGATAAATTATGGTTATACCTGCAAATGGCTTCAAGAAGATTTGCTAAGCTATAACCTGCTATTTCAGAACTCCCATCACTCTGCTTGTTAGGGTTTTTTCTCCTATTTTTTCAAATGAATTTAATAACCATGAAGAAAAGCAACCTAATTGAAATGATTCCCCACAACATTACCTAAATTTAGAGAATGCAATTAAATATAACATACACATCAAGACAATTCTGTAAAACACTTATCTTTGGCAGAAATATTGCCATTACTAATTTTAAAAACATAATCTGCAAAAAATAACTAATATTAATAAAATGAACAAGCAAATTATATTAAGAACTTGAAAGAATGCTGCAGAACAGAATTAGAGGTAGGAAAAAAGGGGATTCTAGCCTTAAGAAACATGCTCAGTGGTGCTTCTGTTTTATTTTGTTTGGCATGGGTTGGTCTGTAGCTGATTCAATACAATCTGCTTATCAGAAAATATTAGAAATTTACAATTCTGCCTCCTTTGCTGTAGAGAAATGATTTTTTGGAATTTCATATAATGGAAAACATGTATCTAATGTTCAAGTAAACTTTAATTTTGATACCATATGTGAAATGTGCTGCTGTTCAGGTCTAGGATTTCAATTTCTTTCACACATTTGGTTTTTTGTTCATAAAGACTAGAGAATTCAGCTGCAGTCCACGTAACACCAATTCCAAGCCTGTCTTTGCCATTTGCCTGCAGTGTAAGACAGAGATGGCCACCTCTCTTCTCTCAATTGTTAGTTTCATTTAAAAGCTCCAGAAAATCACTAGACTCTCCCAATGCAGGTACAGACAATTATTTCTGCAAAGTCATTCCTGCCATACATAACATTGACTTGCTCTGGCCAGTCCTCCAGGCTGGATTTTCTTCTCCATGTTAGATTTCCTCTTCTAACTGCCTCTACACAAACATCATCTTACCACTTTAACTTATGAACTCTTTGGAACCAACTGGCATATAATTTTACAAAACCTGATTAAATGGACAATTATCAGGCTCTAAGAAAACTTGTTTGCTCCCATTTACCTATATTTCATACCAAATTTCTGATGCATGGTTTTGAAGTGGTTCCATTCTTAGACACTAATGAATTTGTTGCACTTTACAGGGCATTACATTCAGAAAATTTCAGAGGAAAAAGAAGTTCATTCATTTAGAAAACGCTGACATTCTGTTGTGCTACCAATATCAACACCTTTTATTGCCTTTTTTTTTTTCTTTTTTTTGTTATTTTTCACCCAAAATTTTATTCTTAGGCCTTTTTTTAGAGCCTGGGTTTTCCACCTCCTCTATATACAAATACTCTGTATCTTATTGAGATCTATGTACTTCCTTGATTTTTGTTGTTTTCATCAATGTAGAATATCCTGCAACACTTTCATGTACAAATGAATTTTAGAAATAAGTATATAATTGTGACTGAAAATCTACATAATCCCTTTAATAGTTTAAATGTTTTTTTAGTTTTATTTTTCACTTATTTCTCTGACTTGTGAAACTTACTTTGCAGGTACAGAATGGGAGACCCTGGCATCAGGTTCTTCTCAAATTGGCAACTGGAAAACATAGATTAAAATGGTGCTTTGCTATTATCCTCTGTCAACCTGCTGTGTTAAGATAAATATTGTATGAGAGTTTTATACTCTATATTTATACAATGAAGTACAGTGTCTTAACAGCAATGTAAAGAGAGGCATTATGATTGGGTCTTGATCCTGGTACTTTCTATGTTTTGAGTGATCAAAGGTTATGTTCTACAATAAACAGCACTAAAATGTTCAAAGTACTTTGGGTAGTGTTGATTGCAGTATGTAGGGGTGCTGACATTTAATGTATTTATTTTTAGTTTCATAGTTGTCATTATGTAGAGGAGACAAACTGCTCTTTCTAGCAGTCATGACTTGAGTGTCTTAAATTTTATGTATACCCAGAAAAAAAACAAAAGACATTTTTCTGATATTTTGCTGCTATAAGTGTGAAAAGAATCGAGGCCAACTGAAAAAAAAAAAAAAAATAAATTTATTTAAATACAATACCTTTAATTCCAAAAATTCTTTTGAGACATCAAACACTACCAAAAGAAATAGGAGTTGAGGGAGATGCTTGTAGTTGTTTAGATATCAGCTGCACTTGAAAGTTTCCCCTTCCTCTTTTAAGTGAAATACTGGGTTTTGCTGCTACTTTGATCATAACAAGAGGCAGGTATGATATTTGAATCCTGTTGTTTGGATATTTATATCTGCTTATAAACTTAGAACAGTCTTTATAACTGCAGGGTCAGGATGCCTGCTAAATTTTCTGATGCTGAGATGCACTGGTCTGTTCTATTATGGCAAGAACCATGAAACATTGCTGCAAATTATTTTTACTGACAAAGCACAAGTTGCATCACTCACACTGTAAAAGTGAATTCTTTCAGCCTGTGAATGTCAGTGGCTATTTTCAAGGACATAAATTATCTTCTGGGAAATCTGAGTAATTTATATGACATTAAATTGTGATGTGAGTTTAGTTAGGTGCTGCTTATTAAAGAAAAATATCTGAACAAATATGAGCATATCTGTGAGACTATTAAAATAGTAAGCTATGTAGTTACTATAGTTTATATAAGAAATAAGAACTATTGTAATACAGTTGGTGGCCAGGACTAAACTCAGGTAATACTGTGAAAGGCACTGTAATCTAGTTTGAAAAAGTGCCCTAATTTGGCACTTCAACATTACCTTCCCAATATACTGGGAAACCCTACAGGTTGCTTACTTGTCAACTGGGAGCTCCTAGTCTCAGTAGTGACATTAATCCTCCCTTGCCTATGCATCCTGTGTTTGCCTGCTTTACACCTCTGAAAAGGCAGGCAGAGATTTTTTTTTCCTACTAGCTAAAAACAAAATTAAACTATAAACTGCATTTTACACTTTTCATTGTTGTTGAAAACTTCCTTTTAATCTCCATTTTTAATTTTGTCTTTTCTCATTTTCTCATACCAGAGGTACTTCGTTTCTGGGACATTCATCATCTTCATCTTAGGGTCTGTATGGTTTTTTTTTTGTCATTTGCTTTTTTGAGTGGGCAAGGTAGCTTATTTCTTTTTTCCAAATAAATTTCACTGCGATTCATTGTTGCACAAAAGAAAAGTAGGGAGGGATACTGTCAAGTTGCCATTGGTGACAGGATACCAATCTTTGACTTCACTTGATATGGAATTGCTTGCTACAGGAATAGGAAACATCATTAGTTTTCTCTAGTAAAGTCTTTAAATGAAAAACTTATAAGTGAATGCTATTTTTTTCAAAATCTGAACATTGCTACAACATAATTCAAGTTGAATGTATTCCAAGATCCCTGATCATATCTGAAAGTCTGAGCCATGGATCTTTGGAACATCCTTTATTTTCTTTATTTCATTATAGTTTTCCATTTAGGAGATATGGGTGCTTATTCATTGAATCCATGCTATTACAAGAAGGATTCTTTCCTTTTCCTTCTGTGTAACATAATATTACCACTTCAAGATCCTAGTCCACTCCTCTGAGGTTGCTTTGTAGATTCTGTGTGTGGAGACTCGAGACACCAGATTACAGCAGATATGTAATCTGCTCTTTGTGTTTGCTGGGCAAAAGAAAACAGTAATTGATGTAAACAGCCTCTGTTTACCCTTAGTTCTTTTTTACTTGCAGTCCTGAAAGAGAAGAGCAATGCATGGAGGTGAAGCACAGCAGTACAGAGGAACAGTCAATCTGACCCTTTAAATAAACTTACTTCTGCCAATACATAAACTCAGAGAGCTGGAAGGGACCTTGGGGTCACCTACTGCACTCCCCTGCTTCACAGTTGCATCTGCTACTGCAAGGAGTTACTCTACGATGCCTTGTTTATCTTGTTCCTAAATACCTCCTGGTGACAGAGTGCACAGACTTCTAACACGGCTCCTAACCTCTACAACTTTTTACTAATTTCTAACCTGAAGACCCCAAATGGAAATTAAGGTCCTTGCAAATTCTCGCATTCACCTGGATTACAAGAAACAGGTTGTCCTTCCAAATTTTTCCCTTTATGAAAAATAAGCATTTAAAATTGTATTAAATTTGAGTGTCTAGGGCGAAAAACACAGCAAATTCCCAAAAATCAAAGCTGCTCACAAGAGTTTATTTTAGAAGGGCAACTTCTTTCACAATTTCTTTTGTAGGATATTTCTTCTAATGAAGTCCTGTGGAGCAACTCAAAAGGGGAAAGTGGAAGTAATTATTTCTGTAATGGTAACTGTGATACAAATTTAGGTTTCCCATGTCCCAAAACAATCCCATGTTTAATAAGCACTTGGAGAGAGATTCCCCCAATATGTTTAACTGAAAACTGCTTTTATTTTTCATGTACTAATGTGCTTGCTGTGTATAGCATTAAGAAAGTTAGAAAGTTGTCTAGGACTAACATATTGTACCTTGACTAAGAAATCAACAGCTAATGGAAAATTTATTATATTCAACTAAACAGATGGCTTCCTGGAGCCAGTAGTGACATAGAGGTCTCTGTCATGTTATCTTTAAACATTACGTGTCCTAGAGCCTCTTAATTCCTTACAGTAACTAATAAGATGAGATCCTGATTACACATAATGACTAGTAAAATTAATGTGGATAGTATTACTTTAATCAAGTTTATATCTAGAGAGCTTCTATTTTCTTGCTTTACTTAGGGTTTGGGGTTTTTTTTCCTGTTGAACATTTGGGCAGACTTTCAGAGGACATTGCAAAAGATTAGACTGCAAAATAGTAATGTGTGAAGATGTGCCAAATACATGAACATTTTGGACAAGAGTAAGTATATTAATAGTTGTGCTCATTACAGAACTGTGTATTACCAAGAAAGAATAGCAAAGTAAAGAAGAAAAGACCCAACTAAATTCCTTTCTGTTGAGCACCAGATGTAGCCAGCCAGAGAAGGAGCTGGTGTGCTTTTTGGTTGTTGCAAAGGCTGCAATGAAACAATGCTGGTTTTGGTATCACAAAACATAATAAATGAAACACTTGCGAACTGGCTAGCTCATTATATAATTAAAATGTAATTACACATTTGATCCAAACTTAAAAAGCACAAAATAATTTTGGAATATTTGACAGATTTAAGAATGCAGGTTTTTGAGATGCTCCTGAGCACCTAAAGGAGGCAGTCCCAGAGCTACACCTGTAAGGGGGCTTTTTTTCCTCAGGTAATTGGAGCTGTAAATCAGAGCATGCTCAAGCTATAGACTATTTAATGAAAGCTCCAAACTGACTTCATCTCAGGATTAACCCAGTCTTGAGTATATTGTATGATATATTCAGGGATGGATCTCAGCTCTTGCAACACCAGCCATTTTAATGTTTCAAGGAAATCTATACGCTTATAGAAGTAAAAATAATTTAAGCATGTTTCAAGGTGGCAGAATTCTCATGTGGCAGTTAAACAATATTTCACAGAGCAGGAGCAGATTATTATCAGTTACTCAAGATCAGCAAAGGAAAACTCTAATGGTAGAGTGGCAGTAGGCTGTTAAAATATACATGCAAGCATGTTAACTTGCCATGGAGTTTCTGCTCCATTCTCTTTGTTTCCTCATTTAATATCTTTTTACATGCCTGATATTATGTCTTTTATTATATTTTATTCAAGTAAAACTTTAATTGCCTTCAGTGAATTCGCAGGGCAAAGACAGACAATTTTACATTCAAATGTTAGACCTCAAAATTGCAAAGTAATTGCAAGTGAAGATGATTCTTATGTATGCTTTTGGAACAATTCTTGTTCAGTTTTAGGACATTGATAGATATTAATTTTCTAATTTCAAAATTATTTTTTGCTTCTTGCAGGGAAAGAGGGGAATTTTTTTTCCATTATATGCATTTTAAATCTATTTAGGATTTATCACATTTCTGTTTTTACACACTTAATTAAAAAAAAAAAACACAAAGAATTTTGGACAAAGTAATATTATTTATTCTTCACTAAGAAAGAAACAAGTCACTACAGTCTTCATTAGTAATGATGCCATTTAAAAACTTTGTACAAACCTGGCAATAACCTGTTCTCATCACAGATCTACTTAATTGCTTCTGCATTTATAATAGACACAACAGATGATTAATTCTTGGTGCACTGAGCAGCAGTCTTTGGGAATTACTTAAATAACTTTTGTATAATACCTTAGGCCATAATTATAAAGGTTTATGTAACTTGCAAATGATGCAAATCATGTTTTCTGCAAATATTTAACAAAACACCAGCAGAACAAACTGTGTTTCTGAACAACTATAAACTGCTCTTCATTTATTTGGGGCATTCCATAACTTAAGCTAATTATGGTTGTTAGCTGTAGATAAACACATTACTAAAATACCCTTTAGTGCCTTCAGAATAAGAAATATGAAAGTTCTACCGTTATTAAATTGTTTATGAAAAAAAAGATTGAGAAAATATGTCTCTTTCAAAACTTGGAACAGAAGAGATGCCCCCAGCACCTGTAAATTGTCATTTCTAAATTTCTATTTTTAACAAGACGATTATTTGTTTATAGCCATAGAAATTATTATGAATCCATATTGACACCTTGCGGATAACTTGGTCAAATGCAGTGAGCAAGCTTCTGTACTTATTCATCTTGAAATATATTAGTCCTATTAGCTAACTCATAATTGAGCACTGGCCATGATTTCTATTTGAAGTTTTTATAGTAGTTCTGTATTTTGTGAGTTGTATCTAACAATGTAGGTTTTAGATGTAAAAAATCAAAAATAAATGGGAGTTGACACCTACAAAATATTGGTCTTGCCAAAACTGTTTAACATCATATTTCTTTTTAATTACTTAACTTTACATGGGGAAAAAATGCTTCTAGAGCAATCTACCCTAACCATTGAACTCCTCAGCTTAAGTAGAAGGATTTCAAACTTAAAGAGAGAAAGTTTAGGTAGGATATACAGAAGAAATTATTTATTGTCAAGGTGGAAGAGGTTACCCAGAGAAGCTGTGTATATCCCTTCCCTGGAAGTATTCAAGGCCAGGTTAGATGTGTTGTTGAACAGCCTGGTCTATTGAGAGGTGAATGTATATAAGATAATATTATAATATTTATTTTTCATATCAGATTCTGAAATTCCTTTGCCAATAAACTTTTTTTGTCTATGGAACTGCAGAATCCGTTGCACCATGCAGAGATGTATCATGTATGTCTAAATGGCTTATAGATTATTTGCAGAGTTTAAGGAATTATCTGTCAAGAGCTCAGTCAAAAGGAATGTCTTCCATACATAATGACCTGAAAAAGGTAACAATTTTTGCTTCTGACAATTACAAGAAACATGAAAAGCAATGGGAGCCACGTCCATTGAAGAGCAATAGGAGCCAAGACCAAAGTCCCTCACTACACTTTTTCTTCTTTCTCTCTTTCTCTTTCTCTTTCCTTCTTATTTAATTTTTTTTTCATTTACCACCCTCCAGTTTTCATTTCCTTTTTTTTATTTCTTCAAATAATGTGTTTAGCTACCAAAACTTTTCAAACCTCAAGTCTTCTGTATCAAATAAGATAGGGTATTCACTAAAGAGTTGAACTTGATTATTCTTGTGGGTCCCTTTCAACTAAAAATATTCTGTGATTCTCTAGTAACTTTAGCCATATTAGTTAAACTAATCTGTGGAAAAAAATCCTCCTTACATAAGCAATGTAAAATCATGAGATTAGTATTAAGATTACTTTTATTAAACTAAGAGTCCAAAACAATGAGTAGTCTGCCACTTATGGCCTCTCTGAGAAATACAGGTTATTTGCATTCTTCAGAGATTTCTAAAAAACACTGCTATAGCCAGGAATTCTCTAAAACTTTAATCTCAAATGTCAGTGTTTCTTCCAGCATCATTGTTCTCTGGTTATTGTTGATTAGGATCTGCTTATCATTTGCTTGACAATGAAACTGGATAGTAGTTTGAAGCTTTGAGGGACAGAGAGGTTGAGCTAACACTCACTGGAATTCATATCTAGTCTAACATCTTGCTGCATGGATTCTGAGCTGGTGCTCTAAGGAGGGCAGGGAGAGGGACAAAGGTATGTTGTGCAGAACTAAGAGGACCCTCACAGGGGGCAACTGTATCTGAAGTGTCTCATTTATTTTTTTTGTTTGTGTTTTCTAGGAAAATAAACATACTGATTTATTAAGTAAATATTACATAAAAACTTGATCTGAATATCTGGATATATTTATGCCTTGTGAAATAGAATTCATATATGTGTATCATGCACAAGCATGTCAAATTATGGCTTCAGTTTAAGCTGCAATAAAATTTTGACCATGGACCTTTTCTTGGGCAATGTAGAATCAGCTATACATCAAGTTAAACATTGAAAATGATATCTTCATGTTAATGCTGGTTTTGACCTTTTTTAATGCACTGGAACAAATTAAAATATATGTTACCTTAGGTCCACCAAGTGTTAAGTAGAAGACACTGATCAGCATTTTCTTAAGCAATTGAAACCTTTGCCTGTATTCCTTTGATAGATTAGAAGAAACTGCTGCTGTGAAGCTATGAAAATTGCATATATAGGTTTCACTGTTTAAAAACAACCACTGTCCAGAAACAACCCAGAAAAATAAATTCAAATATTTGTCAATGTTTTCCAGCAATTATTTGTGAGTTAGAATTCTCCAAGATAGATATGATTCATATTTGTAAAACTAAATAAATCAATACAAATTTTCTTTATAAAATTACTTAGGTAACCAAGAGCAAAGCATCTCCCTTTCTAGGGATGTCATGTGTAGACTAGAAAAACCTGCACAGCAGATAGACTGAGAAAGAGAAGGCAGGTAAATTATTACCATCTATAATTTCCAGTTCTACTCTCCATTCAAACCCCTTTTAAACAATTAATTTAGGAAATCGAACTCCTTCTCTCTGTAGTTGAACTGGTTTACTTCAGTGAGTGAGGCTGTATGAGCTTGCTACACAGAATATGAGCTATCTATTGGATTACTGAACCATGGCCAATGTCAGTAAATAACAATAGCCAGCAATTAACTTTGCCTAAGTCATTAAAGACTTCAGATAATGGCTTGGAAAATTTGATGGCTAAAATGTTGACAACAACAACAGCCAAAAAAACCCCCCACAAAACCCAAACAAAAATCATCACCACAACAACAATAACAACAACAACAAATACCCCCCAAAAAAAACAAAACCAAAAATATCTATATTAATGTGATAGTAATTTTTAACTGCCAAATTTCTTCACATTTTCCTTGGATCTATTAAGTGTTTAGAGTTTCTGAAATACTTCAGTGCATGTTTCTTGCTTTGACTAGCAGGTGTCAATGCTGTGCATTAATGCCATCTCTCATGCTGTCAGAATACTGTTATTCATCTGCTTGGCTGATAATGACACATGCTGCTGGATAAGATGCTTCTTGGAACATACATGTGTCTGTCTGACTCCATTCCAGTCTGTTCAGGAGACTATGTTAATTTTTTTAATGAGCCAAACCCATTGGCTGTCCTTGTGGACATTTGGAAAGGTGTCGCAGAGTGAATAATGGTATTTGTGTGCATGTCCAGGATCAGTGGAAGGTGGTTCATGAAAATGTCTAGGCACAGATACTATTTTAAGAATTGGTAAGAAGGAATTTTGGGAATGAGAGCTAGACAGATGGAAAGGAAAATAAAATGTATAGATGGATATGATGTTGAAATGCAGCATGGTTTTGGTAAATATTTGGAAAATTTTAGTGTAGAAATGAAACTATATTAATAAGACATCATAACATACATAAATATATCATTTAATATGGGACATGAGCATAAGAAAAATTCCATGGAACACGGGGTGGAGACAGTCTTAGTCTGGCCATCTTGGAGTTAACTTTTCTCACAACAGTCCATATGGTGCTGTGCTTCATGTCTGTGGCTAAAACAGTGCTGATAAGACAGAATTGTTATGGCTATTGTCAAACAATGCTTGCACAGTGTCATGACTTTCTCTCTTTCACATTCAGCCATATTATCCTCCTCTCAAATGAGTGGGCTGGCACAAGAGGCTTGAAGATAGCACAACTCAGATAGTTGACCCAAATTGACCACAGGGATATTCCATAATGCACCATGCTCAGCAAAAAAAAAATCTCAGGAAGAGGAGGACAAGAAAAAAAATGGAAAACAACAGAATGAACTCCAAGGACAGAGAAGGAAGAGGAAGATGTCAGAATAGATGTTCACAGTAGTATAAGGGAGACCCACAATGGAGCAGACTGTAACTGAAGGATTAAGGCCCATGGAGAACTCTTACCCAAGGAGAGAAAAAGTGTCAGAATGAAGAAGCAACAATGGAAAGCTGTTATGTACTGACCGCAAGCCCCAACCTCACCATTCCATTGTACCTCTTGGATCAGTGGGGCAGGGCATCTATATGTGGACATCTGGATGTGTGACATAAAAATTTGGCTACTGATCAATGGGGGGACTTGACCACTTGTGCAGATTATCTCTGAAACATGCACCATAATTCAGAAAAAAAAAGTATATCTGAATGGTGAGTGGAATCAGTATGAGTAGGTCTGGTGGATCAATTTCACTGGACCACTGCCACAATCTACCAATTCACTGTGTGCCTACCGTGATGGAAGAAAATGTCAAGTGGCTGAAACCAGACCAGGCAATCCATGCCAGTGCCCAAAACATCATTCTGTGTAAGTCCAGTGGCAACCTGACACCTCATAAAGAATTATGATGGACTCATGTCTGAAATAACCCTTGAGATTCCTGGGCCAGGAAATGAAGCATTGAGTGTATCACCCCATCTCCATCTCCCACCAGGCCCAGAAAGATTGAACACTGTATGAGACTGTTAAATACTAGGCAGTGAATGATGGAAACTGGGAAATAGAAACTCTGGGGTGCATATTTAGCAGAGCCTCTTGTCTGCTCAGTATAAGAGGATCAGAGAAATCTGGCCCTGTCCAAACAAAACCTCTATCCCCCTACTCAAATGCCTTTTATCATTAACAGGTCATAAATACATACTTACATTGTTGGAAATCAGTAGTGAAGATCATCTTTATTGTCCTGGTTATATTATGATGAGAAGGTTTCAAGTGTTGTGGTAATGTTAATACTGTGGTCAAACCTGTCACTGTATCATGCTTTACTATAGTTCATCTTCAATAAGTGACACTGCTAGGGGACTCAGTCATTAAAGATTTTAAACCCTATTTTCCTGAATTCCCTTGTTTATCTTAATTCTCAATTTTACTTTCCTTGTTTCTTTTTTCTGTATAAAGAACAAAATTAGAATGAATAGCAAAATGTTCCTTTACTATAAAATTTATAAAAATATTCCACTAAGTGATCATTTAGGCCAGTGGTCTCTTACATGTAGAATATAAATGAATAGTACCTCTAAAAGGAAATATAAAAGAAACAATTTTTTCTCCTAAAAATCATCTACAAGCAAGAATGGGGGCATTATAACTGTTTAATGAGTTGTTAATGAGAATTCAAATATACTATTTCCCACTTTATAGAATTTTATTATACATCTACATTAAACAACTCTTACTCCTCTGAAATTGTATCTGACACATATAAATATATCTCAATATTGCTGAATTCTAAAACAAAATAATTGTTCCATAAATAAAAAATATTTATAGAAATATGTAAATTCAATTTTTATAGCAGAATATTCTCATAAGATGTATGCATATATGTATACTATATATATGTACACACATCTATCTTAATTATAAGACATTCTTTTTTTTTACTGGGATACTTGTTACTAAGCAAAATAGTATATGTTTATGATAGTATATGTAAATCTGTACAGTGGAAATAATTTTTGCAAGTTAAATGTGTTCCTTTATTCTTGTAATTGTTTCTGAAAATATTTTCATGACTCCATCAGGACTGGAGTTCATATAGTTTTGCCTAGTATTCTTCAACCATTGGTCTTATGGAAATCTATGATCATAAGAATGTACATGACTATATAGTGGTTAGGTGTTTTTCCTTAGATCAGTCTTTCATGGGTTTTGTCCATAGATATTTTAAATATCTAGTTAAGGTAGTGACAAACCTTGATTGTTCTTATATCAGGTCCAGTTTACATAAAGCAAAAGTAACCCAGGCACAGAGCAGCCTCACCCTTGATCAGCTTTACTCAGTGCTTATAAGCACTTACCTCCTTAGCAAAAAGGCACTGATCAAAATGCACATCACTCTACAAACTTCTTGAAGTATATTTAATTAGATATTTGATCTGAGTAATGGTTATGTAAATGTCTTGTTTGCTTGTTTATTTCAACTTGTTTCAACTGCCTTTTGGGAACTTCCACTTGCTGGATGATAATTGGGAACACCATACAGCTGGCACAAACAGGTCCAGGAGAATCCTAAAACACTTGGATGGTAACTTCATGGTATAGGTACTAGAGTTTCTAGGAAAGATGCCCTTCTTGATTTGTTGCTTATTGAAAGAAAGTGTCTCAGGAATGAAGTGGTGATTGGTGTGGCCACAGCGAACACAGAATAACTGAGTTTAAATCAAGTCTGATCAGGGATCGAAGTATGTAAAGTCTCCCGGGAAAATGTTTCTGAAGGTGCTGGGGTCCATCAGTGCTGGTCACTTTTTGAGCACTACATCCTAATAAAACAGAAGCAGGCAATTCCAAACTGTCAGAAGTCAAGCAGATGAGTCACAGGGACAGCCATGGAGCTGTTCTGTGCAGGGACAGGAACCAGACCTCAATGATCCTTCTGTGTCCATTCCAACTCAGCATATCTGTTCTAGCTTTACAGACAATGAGGTTTATAAGATCAAAATCTTGTCAGCTCAAGTTGACTTGTGTATTTTGATTTCTTTGGTCATATTTTCATGTTAGATTTCCAAGTAAAAATGGGACTATTAAGACATAAATAACAATAAAATATAATCTAGACAGGTAAGAATTGTCAGTTGTAAAGCTTTTCAATTCCAACAGAATTCTTCTCTCTTCAGGTTATTCAAAAATCTATTTGTCTGGGATGCTACATAAGAATAGATTATGTCATTTATAAAAGTCACTACCTGCAGTTTCTGAGGAGAAATTAAATTATTTAACTATTTTTTTGAGTTTCTAGTATGTACTGACTAAATTTCAAGGATAAAATAGCACATTATAATATATATATCAGAAAATCAAAGAGCTTTATATAAGCTAGGAAATAGTCTCATACATTTCCATGCCTTATAGGGAGTTTTTAATTAATAGATTTTTGATATATTGTCAAATCTCAAACAAGTAAATCTAAATGCAGTATTTTCTAATTTTAAAATTAATTATAATGAAATTTATCTCTAATCATAAATTCAAAATTTTACTTCAACTGAAGATGGATTTTGATCAAGAAAATATCATAATTCTGGATTTTTCTATACAATAGCTCTATATCTACTTATATGAAGTTGCACTGACCTCTTCTCTCGTAAGATGAAATGGTTTAGGGGAAGAGGAATTTTATCAGTAATTCTTGAGATCTGATTCTTTGTAACTGCAGTTTTCAATTAAAGATCTTCCATTCCAGAATTGTTATTCATAAAGAGTAAATGTAATCAAGCTCTTGCAAACCTCAGTTCTGGCTTAACAGTTGATACGTATTATTTATTTTATATTGGTCAAATCTTTTTGAAACCAGGGGATTCACATGAGTGAAAATGCTGTGAGCCATCTCACATAACTAATGCAAAGATTAATTACTGTAGAAGGGGCAAAAGTGAACTGATTTACATACTTCCAAATGTAGCAAGTGTAAAACATTCTTCAAAGTAAATTATCGCTAACTTGATGAGCAGAGAGACAGAACTGTATTTGCCATGAATCGCCTTTATCTTCAATACTGAATATAAGAATGGCACATTTGCATAAAAATCTAAGATGTGGATCTCAGCATTAACTTCTAATTGAATATTCCTGATTAAAATTTTAATCTTTGAAAGCAATTACATTTTCTTCCGAAGACATTTTTGATTGATTCTTTCAGTAAAGATGCTGGGTACTCTTTGGAAATAATTTTAACAGTGTTAAAGTGGTGCCTCTTCACACATCAGCCTCCTGGGAATTGCTAATTATGAGCACTATCTACAGTCAGGACTTCAGACTGGTTCTACATTTATGTGAACCTATTTCTTCCCAGCACAGACAACACAGCTGGCAATTGAACAAAATATGCTAATGTGGCAGGCCAGAACAAGTCAAAAATCGTGAACTTTCTGAGAAAAACACTATTAATTGTAGAAGCAAGTTATTTCTATTTTAGCTGCTGCAAAAAGATAGGCTCCTACTTTCCCCTCACTTTAAAGTGCAAAAGAACATATGCTGTAGATCATTATATGAGATAAAGCTCAGGGAAAATTTAAGCCACACTTTATCATGGAACTCCAAAAGAAATTACTATAAACTAGTAAGAGATTTGAAGAATACCACAGATTCTTGGGGGGCAGGGGTGGGTGATTATATTTCTGGCAAGTGGTGCTGATCAAATTTTTAATCTTTTTTTTTTTTTTTTTTGAGGTGCAGGTTTTTTTGTTTTTTAGTTTGTTGTCTTGTTTGTTACACTAGAAAATGGATTGGTTAAAACAGGAACTATTGGCTCATTAGAACAACACCTTCCACTCTACTCTCTACCTTACTCTGTTTATCTTTTGTGCTTGTGTAATTACGATAGTGGGGATTTTCTGGATTTTAAACCCAAAGTTTGATTTGGGTAAAATGAATAATCTTAGATGTATGCCTTGTGAGGATGGTCTTAGCACATTACCTCCAGTACAACCAAGAAGGGTTTTCCTCCAGGCATTCCATTTGAATTAAATTTAGTTTATTTTATTATTTTTAATGGCTAGCCTGTCTTTGAACTGATATCTCCCTGTTCTTTTATTGAGAATTCTATATATGAATTATAGGAAAAATGGGTTTGTTTGGTGGGATTTCCTTATCACAGCAGAAAACTCCTTTCTAGAATATCAAGGGGTTTTTACTGCTTCTTAAACTAGTAGTACCTTTCTGAAAGGTGACTGCCATTTAAACTGTAATCTCAGAAATCTCATTTAAAGTGATGATATTAGTACTCAGATTATATGAATGAAATCAGAAATTTTGCCCTTGTTTTTGTCTCCAACAATACACTTAACTTCCTGTACTCATTTACATCCTCCAG